ATAGTGACTTGTGCCTGGGAGCCTTTTGCCTATTCCCGGCAAAACCGGCTTTAAAAGTTCAAAGTGCAGCCATAAAGCCATTAACTTGAAGCTGGCTGGCTGCCCGGAGCAGTAGCACATACCTCATCAATCACTTCTACGCGCAGAGCAGATTCCGTTCCGATCTGTCCCTCTGCATTCCGATCCTTTGCCGGCACTCCGATTCGACCTCTGGAGCCCATAACCACGTGTTGATTTAAGCAGAGTCTCGTTGCCAGCGGAAGGATGAGTAATACGTGCTACATACTCTATATAGCTTTATTTACAGTTCAAAGCTGGTATATTACAGAAAGACATCTTGCCTCTGCCGAAGCAGAAAAATGCATCCTCTCTCCTCAACAGCTCGGAGAGAATCACACAGTGAAAAACAGGAAACCAGTGTACGTCACATCCAGTCTCCCTTTCCCGTGAGAAACTCCAACAGTACAGACTGTGGAATGTAAACACCTGTCTCATGACAAGTTAGCTGCACAGTGAAGGAAAGCAGAAACCAACACGCCCGCCCTGTGGAATACCCTCCCATCAGATGTCAAGGAAATAAACAACTATTTGACTTTTAGAAGACATAAGAAGGCAACCCTGTACCAGGAAATTTTTTGTGTCTCATGTTTTACAATTTTGAGTTGCTGGGGAAATCCAGCCAGATGGGTGGGGTAGAAATAATAAAATTATTATTATTATTGCTATGGGAAGGCGGGGACCATCAGTCCTCACAACCACCTCACAGGGGCAAGATCTACCAAGAAGGGTTGCTGTGCTCACTAGGCCTGGCTTCCTGAGCTGTCTTGTTTCTTTGAATAAAGAGTTAACTTTGCTGATGCAGTGTGATTTATTGCTCGCCTGCTCCTGACACTCATCCCTGACAGCTCACTAGTACAATCAGAAGCTGATCTATTACAGATTCCAGAACCTCTTCCTGTGAGGCTACAGGAGACCCGGTGAACACAGGGACCTCCAGTCTCCAAGCTTTCACAAGGCCTGGTATATGGAATACAGGGAAATGGGGGCAGTAGAGTTCTGTACCACTTTGGGCTGCATTTAAAACTTGGAAGCCCCCAAGCTTATCCTGATGAACCCCTGGTTCAATCGCTCGCTCTCTCAGCCTACCTCAAAAGGTTGTTGTTCTTGGAGGAAAGACAAGATAAAATGGCAATTAAATAAAACAGGCAGTATAAATTGCAGTAGCTGAGCAGTCTCATTGCGCAAAGGAGCCAAGCCTTCTGAAGCTCACGGAAGCTAGCCATGAAGTTCAGCATCTGGTTTGGGGCAAGTCGTTCCTCTGCCTCTCTCAGCGAGTTAGTGGCTATAAGGGTTTATCACAGCCTACTCGCAACTCTTAGGTTAGGGCAGGAAAGTGATCCAAATGAACGATCTCTAATGGAAAGGCAGGTGTAAACAGCTAAAATTGTCCCGCAGGGATTGTGCAAGGGCGGGTGGGTTGGTGAGGACGTCCAGGCATGTCCTGAAAAAGGGAAGACTTGAAAAGATTTTATCGACAAGTTTTCAGCAGTTGATTCAGAAAGTGAAGTTTAGGTTTGATAGTCAAAGAACAAGGCGGAATCTGCAGAGATCCAGAACTGCCATGGTCTCAACTGCAAGAGGGAAGTCATTTATCTGTGCGGGGCTGGGGTTTTGGGGGGGGGGGAGGCGGGGGGGGCTGCCAGCTACCTGTGTAGACCTGCCATGCCTCTGCAAGGGGCTCTCTGCCGCCTCCCAGAGCCCCCTCCTCCCTCTCCCTCGGTCCTGGCAGGGTCCTAGCGCCCTCCCACCTCCTTCCCAAAGCTGGAAAAGCACTAAATAGGCTTTGGGGGTTTTTTAATTTATTTTTATTAAAGATTTTCTTGTTTTACAGAGGTATGTGTAATGTCTCTTGTATTTTTTCCATGTAAGATTTTTACAAATCAGTTTCATTTGTTGAAACATTAGGAAGAAAAGGCGGTGGAGGGTGGGAGATGGGAGGGGTCAGGTGGCGATGTTTCTATTTTGCTTAATGTTGGTATTAGACTAACTAGGCTTGGGGAAGGAGGCAGGAGGACTCTAAGGACCCTGTCAGAGCCCTCGCACCACCTTCCCAGAGCCTCACTTACCCGGGTTTGGGAAGGCAGCACCAGGGTAGAGGGGGTGTCAAATGTTGCCGAGGGCTGCCAAAAATGCCTCGAGGGCTACATGCGGCCCTCAGCCGGCACGTTGGACCACCCTGCACTTGACCAAAGCCTTGGCCCGCCAGCTGTCACAGAACTCCAGCTCCCATCAGTCCCAACAGGTATGGCCAATGGCCTGGGATGGTGTTTGGCAACACCTGGCAGGCCAGTGGGATGTCCCCACCCTTGATCAACTGCAGGGCAATTCAACAGGCGGCCCTCAGTGTGTTTTTTGGTGGGTCTTGGCCCCTCCAGCCCTTGCGCTGTCTTTCTAAAGGCACTGGGCTTTGCGAAGGAGGCATGGGAGCTCCTTCACTGGAGGTTTTAAAGCAGATTGGTCGGCCATCTGCCAGGGGTTCTTAGCTGCAATTCCTGCATTGCAGGGGGTTGGACTAGATGACCCTAAGGTCCCTTGCATATCTGTAATAGGAAACCCAGCCAGATGGGCAGGGTATAAATAATAAAATTATGCTGCTACTACTCATTGTATGGGAGATGCTCAAAGGCACAGGTGCTCCCAGTGGGTTTTCAACAAGTAACAACAGCTACTGCTCTCTGAACGCCAGGGAACCGAGCCATCTCAAAAGGAAACAGGGATGCAAAATTGACATGGGGGGTTTGGCATTCCAGAATGGCAAGCCCTAAAGCCCTCTGGGACACATGGAACCTGTTTCACAATTATTTGGCTCCCAGCAGATTGAAAAACTTGATATTATGCACGCATTTCATCATCAGCTTCATAGAAGAAATCCTACCCAAGCTCCACATGTGATAATGAAAAATTTGCATTCAATTGAACTCACAGATGTGAAGGTCTTGATGAAATGGCTCCACTCCCTACTATGGCGAAACCAGCAAGAGTCTTGTGGCACTTGAACAATCAACAGTCTTGACTGCCGCGTAAGCTGCCTTGTTTGTCAGATGCAAAGAAGCGTTCTCCGTTGGCAGATGACATAATACACAGCCACACAGGGAGGGGAACGTATGCATCTCATGCATCTGAGCATTGCGAGTCGAGCTGACCTTTCGCAATAAATCTGTCAGGGCTTCTAGCACCAGGAAAGACCCAACTTCTATTTTTGCTGAAAACAGGCTCACGCGACTCCTGGCCTTATTATAGCATTTCCCCATGAGCTCCACTTCCTCTCTTTACACAAAACGCACCCATCAACGCCTGGCAGAAACAACAGCTTGTGTCTCCCTAGGTTATTCTCTGAGTATAGACCCACTGAAATTGATGGATGTGGCTCACTTTGATCTCTACATCTAATATTCCCATGAGGATGACTTGGCCTCAGGCTACCCAAGGGGTTTGCGTTACAACTCCCTCTAGTAGCAAACTCAGGTGGTGGGTACTGATAGCACAGAGCCACAGCAAGAGGCACAACCAAGCTTTGCAAGAGGTACTAATAAATTTTTGAGCAAAAGGGGGGGGGGGGGAAACAGCCCAATGAGGGTTGGGTATTCTCTATAGCTGCAAAGTATTGAGGTCTGTTGTTTGGTTGTAGGTCGCATTGGGTTGCCTTGGGTGGTATAAAGTGACTGACAAAGTTAATAAAGAAGAATGGGGAAATGGGAAGAGCACCCAGTTCTACTCACACCCAAACCGTCTCCCAGCCTGTTTCCTCGCTAAGCTCTGGAGTATACCAGGGAACCAAAAGGGCTCCACGAAGTGGGAGAGGGCATTCAGGGGCGATCATGTCAACAGCCTGAGCCATTCGGATGTTCCAGAGGTCAGCCAGGGCTTTGACAGGAGAGCCAGTTGCATCAGCTGGAAAATCCCCCAGAGCCATCTGGAAACCCACTTGATCCATCCGCCTCCGAGGGCAGACCATCCTAGTTCTCCTGTCTCTGCAGAGGGGGAAAGGTGCTGAGCGCCTAAATCTGAACAGGGAATAATCTGATCATGACAAGCGGCTGATGTCAATATCTCCCACTTTCAGATATGGATGTTGAAGTCCTCCAGAACAACCAGCAGTCTGGGAGTCCTCAGCACCGCCTCTGAGACCAGATCTGTCAGCTCAGGCAGGGAGACTGCCCAAATCAATTATGGGCACATTTTGGTTTCTTTCAAATTATTTTACAACGGATAGGAACACGATCAGCCTCGTCTACGTCAGGTGCAAAAACGTTTGATCATCTCTTTATAGGACAGGACACGTTCACTGAGATTACATCAATTCCTCCCCCCCCCCCCCACAAAGCACAGTAAAATGCAGTTTTATTTCATTCTATCTTACAGGTTTATTGGGATTGTGTTTGGCCAGCAAACAAACAAACCATAGGTAATAATGTCTTTTAGGTCAACATTGGACTATCACCTTGGGGGAAGGGGTATTAAGAGTAAAATGGTGTTTGTCTGCCTTCAGCAGAGCATCCAAAAGCCCCACTTCCTCCTTACCAGGTCAAGGTGCGTATAGTAAGAATCTGAGGCCGGTGAAGTTATTCTGGCACCCGAGGCAGAAAACCCGATAAGCAATGCTCCCAGTCCGTAAAAACACAACACTTAGCAAACCACTTGCTGACCTGTCATGATACCCAAAATCAATAGCCTGAGGTGGCCAGCTCATTCCCCCACACGAGTAGCTTGGCCCTGAGGCGACCGCTTGTGCAAGTCATAATGGAAGCCGGGTGATGACCAGATAGCATTTGTTTTGAAGCGCCTTCCTGGGCTCCCCATTCATTGCCAGGCTTACTCAGAGTGCCGTTTGGACCTTTAAAAGCCCATACAGCTTCAGACCCACTCAAAGTCCCCGAGATCAGTCTTAATTCAAGGTTCTCATCCAGGCGCCCTTATCTTCTGAGGTGCAACAGGTTGGGAAAGAAAATCTCTCCAGGGCGCTTGGCCGGCACACACTCTTGATGTTTTAAGCTGACAAAGTAACGTGTGAACTGTCCTGCCACCTTTTTAAAGCTGAATGTTGTTATGTTTTATTACTGCCAATATTTATTATAAAAGCTATTAACCTTATTCATTTATGTATTGTTCAACAGAAGCTTTCAAAGGGAAATTTTTTTATGAAACTTTGGGGAGGGGGGAATAGTAATAACCACAGAACTGGGTTGCAGATCAGATGATATTTTTTCATTAGAAAGCTTAGCTGAGTGCCTTTGTGTTACACTCTCCACTGAAACTGGGACGCAGCCAGGCAGTTAAAAAAAATCAGATTCTGGAACTTCATTTTATTTTGAAATCATATAGATGGATTCGTGATCTGTGTTTAGTGCTTTCAAGTCCAACTTAAACAGAAAAATAATACAGACTAAATTTAAAATTTGGACGCGAGATTTCATTTCAAGAGAACTACTACAGGCAGTGTAAAAAAATATACAGAGTAACAGTAGAATATACTACAGTGCATGCTTTTTAAACTTTGGAGAACATGATTTGCACACTAGTTTATGCACAATTAAATGAGCTCTTTCTGCAAAACCATTTCTTTCTGCATTAAATTGTTAAAACAGCATGAAAAATTAACCCTCCCGATTGCAAGCATCTTACTTGCAACAGTCCTTCCCTGTTTAGCCCTTTCAACTACTGTACTTACATTAACATTATTTATTGGAGAAAAATCAATGCGACTGTAACAAAAAAAGATGTCTCTAAACATTATTTTCCCTCACTGCTGTGCTTTCATTGAAGGTTAAATGCAGTATTCAAGGATGCAAGCAAATGCTTATCTGTTGCTCAGCTGATTGCTGGGAACTGTCAAGTGAAGCAGAGGATTGTACAATTACTGAATGTTCTCTTCCAACGCACATTCAGCAAATAACTATATGAAGAGTGCAATTCTATGCAGATTTACTCAGAAGTCCCACTGTGTGGAAAGGAATGCAGCAAATGATTTTAAAAGTGCAGCAGTACCAAGTCAATATTCCCCAACAGCAGCTATTTAAAATGATAAATTAGTGGTTTACAAACAATCAGTGGTCAGGATTCAAAGAGCTGCTTAGGTTTACGCAAAGAGCTTGCATTAGTCCTATGGAAATTTGAGCACTGAGCATCTGGCCCCAATTCACGTCAAACGGCTGATGGATCATCCATCAAATTATAACTTCTCAGGCTCATGAAACTGCTTGAATAACTTCTTTGAATCCAGATCAGTATTTTGGCCATTTGTAACAGGTCCTCGTCGTAACGTACATTTGGAGCAATCTCCAAATGGGCATATCAGAATACAATCCAGTAATTACAGCAGCTACTATAGAGAAAGACAGTGTCTTTCATAAAACAGAATTTGCATTCATAATAAAGGATCCTGTTTCAAATTCTCGTCTGCAAAGGAATCAGAGCAAAAGACAGTTAATGCTTTCCTTCTCTCAAGCTAAAAGTTCTGTATAGACATTTCAGGAAGACTGCAAAACATCTATGCTTTGTCTGAAATTAAGGTTCAGAACAGAGTTATCGATTTTCTAAAAAGTGGGGAATTGCCACGATTGCTTCCATGTCCCAGGAGCCTGGAGAATTCCTGCAATCCATCTGCCACCCAGTGAGGCTAAATCATGTCTGCTACATAACTCAGCCCGTGTTCCATCTTAAGAATGTTATAAGCTGCAGTCTTTAGGCAATCTCATGCCCAAACTTTTTCTCCCATCCTGGATTTGTGTAACATCCAGACTGAGAAAGAGTTTTGGAGAGCACAAAACCGTGCTCACAATATTGTGAAACATTTTGGTCCGGTCCCAAAGAAAAGTATTACTGTATGATGGTGTTTTCTAATGGACCAGCACAGCTATCTGCATTTTTTTGTGTTAACTGGAAGTTAGAACACATATTGTAGTCAAGATGGAAATGACCTATTGTTGTTTAACAGGTGTGGACTGCGTAAGCCAAGTTTAATTTTTAAAAAAATCACAGCGCCAAAATGAAATTAATGTCACAGGGAAATAATTCAGTGCTCCGACTTCTTCTATGAACAGCAAAGGGATGTCACCAAGAGATAAGTGCATTGTTGTCGAGGTCTGCTACTGTAATTTTATTAATGCATAGTTTGTACGTGTCTAAGAACTGCACAGATAGGTTGAGGCAGGGCTTGCTGTCATCACACTTCTTCCCCCATATATTAAATGTACACACTATAAACAAGTTAAAAGTGCTTCAGTGTTCATGAGTTATTAGCTCACGCAAATCCAACTTAGTCTGTGAGACAGCAAACACGCTCTTCTCCCCAATCTTCCTCCGTGCAGCTCCAAGCATCGCATATCAGGCTTGTCTCCAGAGAACCTTGAGAGAGCAAGCCACATCAGAAGGCGTGGCTGCCAATAAGTTGCCAGAAGAATAGCCTGCCATAGTTCTACTCCGTGTGCCAACTCTATTGGGCAACGCAACTTTAGACAGAACGTCCATAACAAAGCACCCAACTTCCACAGAAGAGTCTGCCACATTTAAGTGATCACTCTTGACACTGTATTGCAGCTATCTAATACTTTTGGAAAACAAGAGTTAACTGATAATATGCAAGTTTGGGACAGGTTTCTTCCAAAGCCAGCATTAAGAAAACTGATCAATCTGAAATGAGTCTGAAGAAAATGATGTGGAATTAATTGTTTGGCGCTAACATACACATGGTTCGAATTTGTAATTTTCAGCACTCTCTCTCTCTTTTGGATATAGCATAACTATATTATAAATTAAGACAGCAGAAAAATATATGTTCTTCCAACAGCATACACGGCACTTTAAAAATACCTATAAAAAGCAAGTAAGCATCAGGTTCACAGCTAGCGAACACCAATGTAAATTTCAGCTCAATTGGTTTTCAAACTTTTAATACAGAAGATAAATCTTTATTTTCATTAGTTATGTGGCTAGTTACATTTTAAAATATCTGCCTAATTCAGTAAAAATTTAAAATAGTTGTGGGCTTTTTTATATACATCACAGTATATGGTGCTTTTTAATTTAGCAACAGAAAGGCACAATTATCAAGCAAAAAGAAAAAAAGAAAAAAGGCTACAGTACCTGAATGTAACTGGTTTGTATTGACAAATTAACGATGTTTTAGAATATGGAAAAGACTCTTAAATACCAGGTTCTCTCATTAAAATTTTGGTCCATTAGAACAGCTTCCTTCCTACGCAAAACATTTGGAAGTGCTGAGGTAACAAGCTTTTCCACCAGAGCAGTTTGTGGTCCGAAGAAACAAATAACTTAGTATGAAATGGCTTGAACTGACCACAAATCAAACTTTTGGATCAACTAGAAACATAACCAGTTTTATACATGTCCAAATAAAGAGAGAGGTACGTTTATAAGTTTGAGGCATCGACAGTATATATGCATACACATACACAGAGTTTACATTTTGTTACAACAGTAAGACTAGACATGGCATTTCTCAGGGACCTGAAGTTTCTAGGTCTCTTAACTCTAGGATCGAAGACTGGAGCTCTCTTTGCTTGCCCCGTACTATTTCAGCAGAGGCAGCGCGATAGCGCATCTCTGTGTTTCTCAAACGGTGACCTTCTCTCACAATGTCCGCTGTTCGCCTCCCTTCCCATGCCAAGGAAAAAACACCAGCATCAGGACAGACCCATTACGTGAAACAGGCAGGGAATCAAGAAAGTCAGCGCAAACCCCACCATTCCATAGGTGCAGTAGCGATAAGGCAGCTCCACCTCCATGCGTTGCCGCGCCTGCCGAATATCGTCACAAGGGATGCGGAAGATTTTACAGGCCAGTGGGATGGTGACCTTCTTCATGCCCCACTTTGTGAGCAACAGAATCACCACTCCAATCAGCAACCGCAGCATGCCTTTTCCAAAGAGAGTCACGGTGAGGGAGGGAGGCAGTAAGGGAAGCATCTCTGGCGAAGGATCCGGTGTCATGTTCAGCATGTAGATAACATGAGAGCCGCACGCAACGCCGGCACCGCAGCCCAGGATCTGAGCAGTGTCTCCTCGCGAGGTGCTCCAAGTGTCAAGAGTGAAGGAGAAAATCCCCAAGGCAAGATGGAGACTGATGATAATTAGGGGCGCGTACGTGCAGGTTAAGTTGAAGCTGTCAACTAGGTCCACAAGTGGAAGGAAGACAGCTAAGATGAGAAGAGCGTAAAAGAATCCAGCGATAACATCCTGTTGTAAAAGGGGGGGGGAGAGAGAGAACAGATTAATACTATTTTAACAATATGGTGGTTTCATAGGACAGGTGCTTTTCAAACTTCCCTCCCCCCAGACTGTCTTAGTACAGCAAAGCAACATGGGTACAAGAAAGAAAGGGGGGGCAATGCTTTAGTAATGCCACAATCACCACCCAAGTTTGCAGTGATGCTGTTCATCCTAAATGCACCTCTAGCACAGAACTGCTGGCTGCTTTTCTGGAGAGAAAACTTTCGGTGCTAGCAGATACATCCAGATACAGAAATAGAAGAGACTGGCCAGCATGCCAGTTGTGCAACAGGTGGACAACAGCATTTTCACGTCTCTGAAAAGGTATTGCCTATATAAATTAGGAATGGCAACCTCTAGCCCAGGAGCCAAATGTGGCCCTCCAGTCCTATCTACTTAGTCTTCTGAATTCTCCCCAGGTCACACTCCTCCCCGACCTTGCTTCCAGTATTTTTGCCTGGCTGGAATGTATCCTTGTACTTTGATAATGCCTCTCGTGTGTCTGGTTGAAAAGACAGGGAGGAGTATGCAGCTGGGATAGCTAAAGTTGGTAGAGTATGCGACTCTTAATCTCAAGGTTGTGGGTTCGAGGCCCACGCAGGGCAAAAGAGCCCTACGTTGCAGGAGGTTGGAATAGATGACCCTCGTGGTCCCTTTCAACTCTGCAATTCTATGATTCTATGTGAGCTAGTGTGCAAGCCAGCCTACTGTACAGAGGTAAAATTAACATTAGTTGCTCTACTCACTTTCGTCTCTGGCCCTTGAAAGGTTGCCCTTATGCTGAAAAAGGGTCCCCACGAAGTAATACAAAGCAGGAGGATTCTCTAGTTAGAATGCAGAATCCCAAATCTGGTTTATTAGGTTTTTAGATAAACCTTTTCAATGTCCTCACTTTCTCATGCTTACATTATCAGAATACAAATTTTTGCTCAATTCTGTTGCAAGTAGTTGTACCAGGTGTGGGTGGGTTTTATTTGTTTATTTGTTTGAGGAAGGAAACCAGCAAGAGCCCCAGATATCAAATGGAGAACAGGGAAGTGGCAGAAGAAATGCAGAACCCTAGTGAACAGCTGCCAAGTACTCAGACTGTGTGGATGGCAGATCAAAGAGGGGAAGGAGATGTATGGACAAGATGTGCTGCTCATACACAGAAATGCAAGCTTAAACAACGTTCATGGTTTGGGAATCTTTCCTCTTTTTATCTAAGAATTGCAACAGAAGTAGCCTGGCCTAACTTGAAAGGGATTGTTTTGCTGTGCCAGAAGGAAGTTGTACTTTAAAAGTGTATTGTCTAAAACATGGTGCTTCCACTCAACACGCCTGCCCCCCCATACAGCCTTTTTTGGCTCTTCAGAAAGATGGCTGAAAAATGCATATGTTTATTTTCTGTTGCAGATGCAAGTAAAGAAGAAGTGAGTACTGTACATGAGCCCGAGGCTTGGGCAAGCTCATTCACATAACCTCCATTCATGATTTAGCATTATGTCTCAACATGATCACTGACTAAAGCCCATGTCAACTGCTAGTGTTGCTGGAGCAACACTCTAAACAAGCAGGAATAGCAGGTCAAGGACTCATAGTCCTTAAAGCAGCCCTGCTGGCAAATCTGAATGCCCTTGCCCCCATTATATACCGGGCTCTTCGCATGCTTTCAGGAGTTAGACCTATTCAAGTTCCTTCAGTGGCTGATCCCTGTTTTAAGCAGGACGTTTGACATGCTTTGTTTCAATAATATTATTTCAATGATACTTGGAAATTTAATTAGGTCTTCCAAGAAACAGAAGTCAAATTTGATCACTTGGAACTGCAAATGAGGCCCACATCTCAGCTCAAAGTATGTGCACTCTTACTGAAATGAAAGGAAGTAAGGAAGTGTATACATTCTAAAAATAACACATCAGAAGGATAAAACCTAAAACACCACTTGTATTAAAGTGTGTGTGTGTGTGTGTGTGTATGAATGACATAACTTTATCTTACCAGAATTGAATGCATCCCCATATATATTCGGCTAAAACAAACCAAAGAACACCAGCAGATGGCAAGAACCAGCCCATATGCCAAAGGATACTGAGGAGACGAAAAGGGAGATGACATTGGAGTGTTATTTATTTACTTGCGTAATTTCATAAAATATATTGCTTGATTGTAAAAAAACAAAACAAAAAAAGCCTTAAAGCAGTTTACAAAAAAGAACGAAACAATAACATTATTAGTTAAGTCCATTTTAAAATTTCAGAAAATTAAAACCAGCAATAAACTAAAAACATATCCACATTCATATCCATAAAAATACAATTAGGTATTTAAAAGACCATTATCATAAAGTCATTTTAATGGAATATTTATTTAAAATATGTAAAGCCTGCTTACCGAAGGAATAGCTTCAATGCAAATTACATTAAGAACAGTAAAATACAAGAATACCACACATATATGAGCTAGAAATTCCAGTCATTGTGTAAATGGCAAATGGCACTTTGAAAAGGGCCACATTTACCGTATTTTTCGCTCTATAAGACGCACCAGACCACAAGACGCACCTAGTTTTTGGAGGAGGAAATTCTGAATCTCAGAAGCCAGAACAGCAAGAGGGATCGCTGCGCAGTGAAAGCAGCAATCCCTCTTGCTGTTCTGGCTTCTGTGATAGATGAGCAGCCTGCATTCGCTCCATAAGACGCACACAAATTTCCCCTTACTTTTTAGGAGGGGAAAAGTGAGTCTTATAGAGCAAAAAATACAGTATTTAAAAGGCACTGCAGCATGAAAAAGCAGGACAGACTTCCTCAGATACCTAAAAGCTAAGTGAGGGCACCAGCCAAATTAGGTACCGGAAAGGTAAAGTTACATGATTTGGGCATCTCAAAAAAAAAGGCTGTATTTCTAGTAGCAGCATTTTATTTCCACTGGGCTAGATTATGAAGCAATGTCTGGCTCTGATGTGGAAAACAATCAAAGTCCAAATCCCCTAACACAGCATGAAGCTGTGACTTGCTTATCAGTGCAGGTGCATGAATAAAACAAAACCCTAGGATACAAAAGTAAGTCATTTTTAAAAAATACAAGCAGAAGTAAAGTAAGAATTTTCACCTGCTTCCTATAATATCCACAACAAAATATCTAAGTGCACATGTTTTTGCTACTCCTGGCAGAGAATAAAACGGTTGTGGATAACAAATTGTATTCTTTCAGCTAAATTGGCAAAGCTATGTCTTAAGGAAAGGAACATAACGAATCCTTCTTCGAGATTTCCTGTGACCTTTCAAGCAGAAATTATTTACAGATGGTAATGGGTGAACAGAACGCAGTGTTGGTTTGTGTTTATCCTACTCACGAAAGCATAAAGCAATCAAAATTAAAGGTAATATAAAAGATTAGGAAGAGGTCAAACACGTTAATCAACTTTTTATTTTTACTTTTATCACATATGTAATAAAATTCAATAGCACAGCATAGCAAATTATTTACAAGTTAGTACTGATAATCCAGTTTTACTATGAACTTCAACATTACTCCCATGGCATCTATTAGATTATACTAGCGACAGTTTGCAGGAGGGATGCATTTCTATAAAAATGAATGGTGTAGCTATAGCCCAAAGTTGCATCATCACGAGCAGCAAGAGTGATTTTAATTACATACTCTATACTGTAGACACCTCCTAGAATCTTTTGGATTTGTTTGCATCAATCTTCCACAAAAAATGAGTGCAAGATACTCATTTAGATTTAGCCTCTACTTAGAGTCACTCTTTTCAAGAATATTTAACATTGCCAGAAACAACTAAATATTATACATTTTTTGACAAGATAACTAACATGCCCAGTATGAATGAAATTTTGGAAACTGCTGTGAATATACACTCAGCAGAAATAAAATTAATCAAACTTTTCAGCATTGCTCACTGCAAAGTAAGCACAAAAAGAGAGCTCCAACTTGCCTCAAGTATTTATATTACTGGCATAATCCAGAGCCCTTTTACCCATTAAGCAGGCAAATTGGGCTTGCCATCCAATACTGGCCCCCAATCAGCACACCTGTAACAAACTTATGGTGGGCATGCATATCACACGATAAACTTTGGAATGTCTTCTCTATAAGACACCAGCTAAAGAGAAAACGCTCTTTCCTTTACACACAGCTTTGTAGATGTTAACTGGATATAAAACAAACGCATACTTGCTTCTCTGTTCAATATAGAACGCAGTGAGGAATGGCTTTTAGGATGGCAGTACTGTAACTGGCTATTTTGAAATGAAAACAAGTAGCGTGTATACATTTTTCAAATTTACTACCCAGAAATCAGGTGGTGGGGAAAATATATGAAACAAATTAAGTGTTACTTGGCAACAGTTTCAATTACTACCTCTGTCTTTGGGTAAAGTCCAAATAGCAGCAGTACGTGACTCAGCTTACATGCTGCAAGCTGTGGTTTGGAAATCAGCTGCAGTTCAAAGGGTGCTATGTTTTACCAACTTTCCCAGGTCACCTAAGAGGAGATTTCCTACAAAACCCTTTACCCTTCATTGGGGGATGGGATCCACTGATCACAGCCCTCTCATACTGATGCACCTAGTGGATTGCTTGTTCTTGCCCACAGCTCATGATTAGTGAGAAGAGAGTCATCGTGAGTCCCAACTAGGACCACATGCCAAGTCAAACCTCATTCCAGGGAGTAGCAAAGCACCTGCACCTGGAAGCTCCTTCCCATGTTCACTTGTGCACACACAGTAAACCAAGGTTTGGTTTAGAGTGTTGTGTGAACCTGCCCAATGTCTCTGGTAGAGGCATCAATCACTTTAGATGTACACAGTAGGACTAACACACTTAGATCCACATTTAATATTAATTATCATTAGGATATGTTTAGCATTTACAACTTTTAATTTTAAAAATCCCTTTAAATAATAGAGCCAATTTAAAACTCAAAGTCATTTTTTTAAAAAAAAATCACTGATTTTCATCTACCTTGCCCCATATATTCACCTTCCCATTCTTGATCAAGATGAACTATGCCGTACTTTTATGTTTGCAAGAGGTTAAAACCAGGATTAAAAGCTAATTTAATAGTTTAGTATGTTTAGCAGCTGTTTACAACAGGGTAACACCACAGCACATTAGTAAATGCTACTGCAAAAAGAGGGGAGCAGAAATGCAAAACCTGAGATAAAAGTCAAATCCACAGAGCTCCCCCAATCACAAAACTATGGCTTGTTAATGAAGAAGAATTATATCTAAATTGGACCTATAAAGTTTTTATCATGAGCTTTATTACAGCAGTTAACACTAACCTCTTCCCCATATGCATTATATATCAGCAAACTTTTTTTTTTTTAATATTTGCTTCTTTAAACAAAGATTGCATTCCAAGAAAAAAATAGCCAAGGGAACACTAAGACAAAGTCCTGTAAACATTTATTCTTCTTGCCTACCTTATCTGTTTTCCTATTCCCTGTTAACAAGGTTTTCTGAAGCTGGATTATCAGACGACTAAGGCACACTATCCACTAGGCTAATGAAATTATGACCACCTTATCTCACTTGAGTGGGGGAGACAGACACTGCCCATGCAATACTGAACTGTAAACAATGGCTAATGAAAAGCACAGGAACCAGAGCTAGCAGAGACTGAACCTAAAAGGTTTTCATATAGAAAAGGGCAATGGATTCAAGTTACAAGAAAGAAGATTCCGACTGAACATCAGGAAGAACTTTCTGACAGTAAGAGCTGTTTGGCAGTGGAATGGACTCCCTTGAAAGGTTGTGGACTCTCCTTCCTTGGAGGTGTTTAAGCAGAGGTTGGATGGCCATCTGTCATGTGTGATCTAGTTGAGATTCCTGCAATGCAGGAGGCTGGACTAGATGGCCCTTGGGGTCATTTCCAGTTCTACAATTCTTTGATTCTGTGAATGTTACCCTAAGTTTTCTTAGACGTCTTACACCCTAATTACACATGTTGCAGGGAGAAAAACTACAACAGCCTGATCCTATACTTGGAAATGGCCTGCTGTGTTGCATGGGGCTTGCAAATAGGATAGCAGCAAATGCTATGGACCAACAAGGAGGTTTTCAAAAATAAGTAAATATAAGTAAACTGTAGACAGGACAACTCCTGGAACATCTGCTGCCCTGTGATTTGTTTTTGCTGCAATAATATCAAACCTTTGCTGCAATAATATCCGATCTTTATGATTTTATCCAGCCATGCTATTTAGCCAAGTTGATGTCTATAGTACAGAGGAAGAACAAAAATACCGAATTCTTCCAAGCTATTTAGGGAACAGTTTTCACTGATGTCTATTATCAAGTGTTGTAAAACAAGGGGCCCCGAGCCAAACTTAAAAAGAATATATATTTTGCATGTCCTCAAACTCTATTACATTATATCCCACAAAGAGCCACAAATGCTTTTGTCAGTCACAATATTGTAGATGCTGCACTGTACAAGACTGGATGCATACAACAGCCTTCTAACTCTGAATAATGTTTGCTACGGTGCACTGCAAAGCCTCAAAAGGGAAGCTGTCACAGGACGTGTGGCATGTTTCCAAGCCTTGGTTTCATTTCATTCATCATTTAATTTCCTCTATCACATAAACAGTATTTGCCAGTTCCCCACAGCTTCAGTTTCTACAGAAGCCATTTCTCTAAAGATGAATTTGAAAAAGAAACTGCAGTTCTGACAGTTTATTGCAATGTTCACATGGTTTTCATGTCATTGTTTAAACCAGGGAGCCCTGGAAGCTGAAATTTCATGAGGAGAACAAGGCATATCCAAGGAAAGAATTAGATGTTACTTCAGCTGTACAGGCTCCCCAGCCAATGTCTGCTGAGGTGAAGTGAATCTGCAGGGCACCTGCAAGGGAGAAGTGGCTGGTGTGGAAAGGAATCATCTGCTCTTATTGTCCCCCTGCCATGTTTCCTAAACCGGAGCCTATTTCTAGTCCCAGGCTGCAGTAAAAATACAGGTCAAAATTTATAGGGAAGACATTTGCAGGGAAGGAATGATGAGGTGGCTCAGCACTGCCTTCCTGCCCATTCTCTGCACAAGAATGCCCTCGCAATGGGACTAGGAAGCTAGAACCTCCTGACATAACAGTAGTAGACTGTTTGTAGTATGGTTATCATAAGCAGCAAGAGGTGTCCTGCCACTCCTGGAAAAGAGCAGGGACTTGGCTCTGGAATAAAGTCAACTCCACATTCCTACCTGCCTCACCCAAAATTGTACTGCTACTGCTCACTGGTTCAGTAGATTGGACACAAAATCATTCCAGCCTTGAGATATGCACTTCTAGTGTGCAGCCAAACTTCGCTACTGCTTACTTTAGATTTCATTTCTGGCACACTTACTAAAAATGTTGGCCTCCACCGATCTAAAAGTGAGTCTGTGTAATGCAGCTAGTATTTGCATTTTGGTCTGTACAGTAGTATGGATCTTTATTAGTATTAAATTCAGGGGGCTATTTTTTCTGTTTTGGACATACTGTGGCTTTGTTTCATAATGTTGCAGCCAGAAAAAGTATGAATTATATAAAAAGGGTAGTGACATCTCAACTACCTAGTGCAGTACACATAGTGATGTTCATGTGTGCTTTGGCTCTTTTGTAAGCTAGTTTTGTGTACAGAACCCTTTCCCCCATCCACAAAAATGTATTTTTTCACAGGAAAAACAGTGTCTTTGAACAGGACAAATGTCGAATTCTCATCCTCATCTTTGGAAGAGTACAATATTCTAAACAAAACAAAAAAAGCAACTCTTTATACCCTGCATATGAATTCATTGGCTTCAAAGGTGCAAAAGATTACTTCCTGTGATATTTGATGAAACATTTTTATTTTGAATTTTTGAACTAGCCACCCTTGTTTCCAGATACTTCACTGCCTCTAGTCTAGCCCTTATCACCTGATCCAGCCAGCCATGTGGCACCTTGGATCATTGAAAGCCCTCAGGTAATACACCTGTCAACTCTTTTATTTTACCACTAACGACAGCAAATAGCTATTCAAATAAATTAGAGTGAAAGTATGGCAGTCTCATAGGATTCACCTGACACCGCCACAATAGACTGGTAGAACCTCTCTCCTAGCAATATGCATAAAGCAGTACACATAGCCAACATACATTCAAAACAGCCTGTCTGTTAACTGCGATAACTTAGAAGAATTGGAAAAAACTTTAATTTCCAACACTAACATTCTCACACCTTGACAGACTTCACTTCCTGTTTCTGCATGTTTTTAACAACTGTTTCCCAGACTGTCAGTGAGAGCAAGAATCTTGTACTATTGCGAACCTTTCATATTCTACCAGTGTTAGATGCTGGGATAGAAAGCTAGGAGCCAAATGGCTCCTGGGACCTGGGTTGTAGGCACCAAAACAGAACGTCTAGTCACACACACACCCCGCAACACTTTTTATTTATTATTTTGATAAGCATGGATTTTGATAAGCAATTCATGTAAGTGACACATTGTTAATATCACATTTTTAGCAGAAATTGTTAATACATGTTTAATTTGGTGTTGACAATAAAAATATTGGTACCAATAAAAATATTGGTTTTCAAAACACTCTGCTCTTTATTGTTAAACTCCTTAACATATTGTCTATCCTTAACATATATGTTGAGGCTTCAAAGCACATACATTTCAGTAATCCTTGAGTGTCAGCCAGGCACAAAAAATGGCACCCAGTCTTTTGAGGTGCCGACAAATGGAGAATCTTTAGGCACAAAATGCGCCTGGCGCCCAGCTAATTTCGAACCCTGCTCCACCCACACAATGCTCTGGAGGTTCTCCTGAAATTCCCCACCACCACCAAGCCACCTTTAGGGAGCATGGGGGAAGCGGAAGTGCTTGCAAAGTGCTTCCACTGACAGGGCTTGTAGTGAATCCAAAACTGTTGTATTCTCAGAAACAAGTTGCTGTAACTACCGTATTCTGTCTTTAAGTAGAAACCACTGCAGTTATGAATATAGAAGAAAAAGAAAGATGCACACAAACATATCCATTAAATTAGTGATGGAATCCTGGAAATCCTTTTAAAACTCTCCTAAAATATGAAAAAGTATCATCCACACTACAGGGAGTGTCATCACTGAAAAATCTCATCAAGGAGTCATTTCTAATCTGGTTGTTATCCCACAGCCAGCAGCTGTTCCACCTACATGTGTCTTTCACAGCCAGTTTGGAAACTTTGTAGGCCACTCTCAGAGTATAAATGAGTGGCTTTAGCTGAGATTCCTGCATTGCAGGGGGTTGGACTAGATTACCCTTGGGTCCCTTCCAATTGTATGACTCTATGATACCTGGTATATAAATACCTCAAAATACAATAATAAAATAAATTAATAGAAACCTGTTTTGTAGGCAGAAGAAGAAGAAGAGTTTGGATTTGATATCCCGCCTTTCACTCCCTTTAAGGACTCTCAAAGCAGCTAACATTCTCCTTTCCCCTCCTCCCCCACAACAAACACTCTGTGAGGTGAGTGGGGCTGAGAGACTTCAGGGAAGTGTGACTGGCTCAAGGTCACCCAGCAGCTGCATGTGGAGGAGCGGAGACGCGAACCCGGTTCCCCAGATTACGAGACTACCACTCTTAACCACTACACCACACTGGCTCTCATCTCAGGCAATCTACACCACACTGACTGACTCTCAGGCAAACTTTATGGGGTTTTTTTGCATATAATGTGCATACTAATGTATGCAAGTGCATGACTTCTGTGGTGAAAGAACAGTTGTGGTGTAATCCCCATGTGCACATGGAGTGAGACTAGTGAGAAGCCCTGCAGATCAGAATCAGAAAAAGTTGAAACTTATTTTACAGCACAATCTTACACAGGCACTCAGAAGTATGTCCCACTATGTTCATTTGAGGCTCACCACCAGTAAAGTGTGCTTAGGATTGCAGTCTCAGTTACTTAAAAGATTATCGGCATTTGCTTTTTTATTCAATTATGTTTGAGATCAACATTTTAAAACATTTTAACAGGAAGCTGCAACTTGGCAGCATTCACAAAAATCTTGACTAAGAGAGCTCAAGTGGAAAAGAGTCTAATTGTAAGTTTCTTCATCAAGCCAGTGATTGGAGTGGTATTTCTCCCCACCCCCTCCCTTTTAACAAACATGTTGCCCATTAGACCATTCGTAGTTAGGAAATTCCTTGTGTGTTTTGTATTGCATCCTCTTGTAATCCTGATTGGAGGCACGGAAGAAAAGCTTCCCTGAAGAGTTTCTCTTTTTCTAGGCTGAGCCACTGCCAACAGCTTTTAATAACAGAACAATAGTTTCAGAAGTATTCCTAAGGAAACACTTCATCTCAAATGTTTATGACCCAGGGTCAGACTTTTTTAAAAAATAAAAAATCAAGAATTAAATCCAAGTGCTTTCAACTTTTTTCTGCCAACTGTTCATATTGCAGACATGAGCACAGTTGACACCCGAGTTATAGAGCAAAACAACATGTAATGAGAAAACCCAATCTGACTAGCTGGGAATATACTCTAGATTGGCATTAGAGCCGGGCAAATCATTGCATGGGACTACAAACTTCCTCTATAGTTCTATCTAATTTAGAATAGGTAAAGATAAAGGGACCCCTGACCATTAGGTCCAGTCGTGACCAACTCTGGGGTTGCTGCGCTCATCTCGCTTTATTGGCCGAGGGAGCCGGCGTACAGCTTCCGGGTCATGTGGCCAGCATGACTAAGCCGCTTCTGGCGAACCAGAGCAGCGCACGGAAACGCCGTTTACCTTCCCGACAGAGCAGTACCTATTTATCTACTTGCACTTTGACATGCTTTTGAACTGCTAGGTTGGCAGGATTTAGAATAGGATCAGATAAATAATGGAAGATATCACTTTCTACTTAAGTAGTCACCAATAAACTCTCAAAATGTTGCATTTAAAATCAACTATTTTGGAGCAGAATTTTCTATATCTTTTATGCCATTTTCAAAAGTATTGAGCTCAATTGTCTGGAATCCTCAAACACGTAAATGGGGAAAAAGGGTTAAGAAGTACGCATCCCCTTAAAATTATTGGAGTAGCCCAATACCAGATCATTTTATTCATAGTGGCAGTGCAGTGTGTGGTGTTTAACATGTTGAACTGGCACATGGGAGACACAGGTTCAAACCCCTAGTCACCCATGAAGCACAGCTGGCCAGTCACCATTTCTCAGACCAACCTACCTGTCCAACCATAACAACATGGTTGTTATGAGGATGGTATGGGGAGGGAGAAAAACTTATACCTCACTTTGATCTCCCTGCAGGGAAGGTGAGATATAAATTGCTATAATAAATAAAACAACAAATTGGACAGCTTTCAACAGCACAAGTGCCAATCATGACCTGACTTCCTTTTACTGTGCTTAAGACAATCTACAGCATCTATTAAATTGCCCAGCACAGAAATGAAAAATTAGTAACTTGTAGGGTCAAGGATCACTGCCAATAAAATCTTGCAGTGTTTTGTATTTCTGTAAACCTTGAGGTCCCCCAAAGTATGTTGATAATCTTCATCTTGTGCATGAGCGGCACCAATTTGGGTATGCAAGCAACAGCACTTACACCTGGACTTTGAAAATAGAGGGAATTAATATTATATTATATGTAAACAGTAGGCCACTGAGGAGCTGCACCCCCTGCTCTCAGAAAGAACATATTCAGAAGGGAGAAACCAATCTGGCCCCATCCACTGGCCAGAAAAAGAGCACCTGCTTGCTTTCCTCTTCTATTGTGCCTATTCAATAGTGAGCTTGCAGTAGATACTATATAGTCTTTTAATATCTGCATGGTGCTTAGAATATTGTTAGTACTTTATAAATGTAAACATAATCACCTCTCTAAAGCTTGCTCACATCAGCTTCATGTCTCACATGCACTCCTTTCCTTGCACAGCTTGAAATCCTCATGAAGTACTCATGGGCAATGGAAACACTAGTCAGGATTTCATTAACTATTAACCATATAATCCAAAACTAAAGCCTTTCACATTCTATCAAAGAACCTTCCCTTTAAGAGCATTTCCCCGGAAGATTAGACAAAATTAACAGACAGTCCGGTTTAGGGAAGCGTAACAACCCAAATCCTTTATTCACTTTAACGGAACATACATTTTACCGTATTTTTCGCTCTATAGGACGCACTTTTTCCCCTTCAAAAATGAAGGGAAAATGTGTGTGCGTCCTATGGAGCGAAGACGCCATAGCCCCGCGACCCTCTCCCGGCTGGAGAGGTGACGCGCGGCTATGGCAGGAGCCTCTATAGCCACGCGTCACCTCTCCAGCCGGGAGAGGGTCGCGGGGGGCTGCTTTAGCCCCGCGCGCGCTCTCCCGGCTGGAGAGGTAACGCGCGGCTATGGCAGGAGCCTCTATAGCCGCGCGTCACCTCTCCAGCCGGGAGAGAGCACGCGGGGCTAAAGCAGCCCCCCGCGACCCTCTCCCGGCTGGAGAGGTGATGCGCGGCTATGACAGGAGCCTCTATAGCCGCAAAAGAAGCCCCTTGCAACCCTCTCCCGGCTGGAGAGGTGATGTGCGGCTATAGAGGCTCCGCCATAGGCGCACGTCACCTCTCCAGCCGGGAGACGCCGCGGGCTAAAGCCATAGCCCCGCGACCCTCTCCCGGCTGGAGAGGTGACGCACGGCTATGGCAGGAGCCTCTCCGCTGCGCCTTTCCGCTGCTCCCTGACCTGCTCTTTGGGGCTGGTGGTGGGCTTCCCCGCCAGCCCCAAAGAGCAGGTCGAAGAACCTGAAGCCTGGAGAGCGAGAGGGGTCGGGGGGCCCTGACCCCTCTCGCTCTCCAGGCTTCAGGTAGCCGCCGGAACGCGCCTTAAACGGCACCTTGTTTTAGGGCGGGAAAACAAGAGGGGGAAAGTTCTCCCCCACTCAGCACAGCGCCTCCAGCCAATTCGCTGAAGGGGCGCTGGGCAGAGAGGGGGAGAATTTTTTTTCTTGTTCTCCCCCCTCTAAAACAAAGTGCGTCCTATTGTCCGGTGCGTCCTATGGTGCGAAAAATACGGTAGTTTTGCTGGTCCATATTTGCCAGATGGGAGACCTCCTGGGAACAATGTGTGTGTCACCTTGGGTTTCATGATGGAAAGAATGCTATATAAATGTAAACAACCAAGTAACTAAATAAATTTAAAATTTAAAATGCATTATGTGGCATCAAAGCACAGTATCTTCTATTCCAATTGCCATAATCCGGATCCTTCCTTATTCTGGACATTTCTCAGACTGTTTTCACGCGTACTGTGCAAGATAACCCTACTATAGCTGGGTAGAAAACCCAGTTACTCAAAATAGTATACAACTAGTGGGCAACACAGGTGGAAGAAGGGGCAAGGTTTGAGGGTTTTTTACACTAACCAATATTATAGGAGTTGCACATCTGTGAAAGAAATAGCCTCCACAGAACAGGTCTTCACAATAGGTTTGCATGTTTTCAGTCATCACTCACTGAGCTTCTTATTGTCTTAGATAACAACAGGATATGACCAGCACAGATAGGGGTGCTAGGGGTTTTTTTTAAGGAAGCATATATATATATTTAAGGAAATATATATATATTTTAACAGTACCAGAATACACCAGATAGAAAACCTTGGGAAAATTAACTAACATGAGTGCAAAGGGCTTAAGGAACATCGTGATGGCTGAAAAGAAGAACTTTGTCCAGAAATGTGACACAATTAGTAGCAAGAAAATGGCATAATCTCTATTCCAAGATGTTCTCCAGCTGGTAAATCCCAGCTTGGCCAACTCCAGCAGATGGTTACCAATAATTTACAGTTACTTTATGGATCCATAGCATGAAAGGCAACATAAAAATGAAGCGCAAATTTTGTAGTGCACAGAGGTACCTCGGGTTACAGACGCTTCAGGTTACAGACTCCACTAACCTAGAAATAGTACCTCATATTAAGAACTTTGCTTCAGGATGAGAACAGAAATCACGCAGCAGCGGCGCAGCAGCAGCGGGAGGCCCCATTAGCTAAAGTGGTGCTTCAGGTTAAGAACAATTTTAGGTTAAGAACGGACCTCCAGAACAAATTAAGTTCTTAACCCGAGGTACCACTGTATTCTGAAGGAGGCAGAAACTCAAAAGCTTCAAAACCTAAAGGAAATCAGCTGATGCAAAAGCATGTATGCATCCGGAAACACAATCATACCTGCAACAGATGCTTATCCATGCACCAGTGAACTGCCAAAATCAATCTTTTGACACAGATACATATGTGAATTTTCTCATCCAGGGCCACTAGCTGTTTCATGTGACTGGTTAGTGGTGACTGGAGTGACACCATAGCCAAAGTTTGCAAACTACTTGCAGTGCACTCATGTAGCGGTTTACTTGGAAGCAGGATACAACCCCATGCACACTCACCTAGAAGCCCCACTGGATGCGAGATTTACATCCAAAAAATAGGATAGCATTGTTAAATTTGCACTCTCCATTTGTAGTTTCAAATCAGGGCTTCTTTAAGCTAGGAATTTAACTGGAATTCAAGGCAGTTTATTTCCAAGTAATTTTGCAAAGGGCTGCAGCCTTCATCTACAATTAAAATCAGAAGTTACCGCATGTCAGTCTAGAAATGTAGCTCGAAACTAGAGATATTTAGAGGAAGTAGGAGGAACACTGGGGTGTTTTATTAGTCTACGCAAGTCTGTAAATGGCTATAAGATTCTAATACAGATAGGCCTTGTGGAAAGTATATTTACTTTGCTAACTGAAGAAATCGAAAATGACTTCAAACACGCATTTCTATTTTCAAATCCTTCTGTGGCCTATATAAATCACCTGATTTCCAACCTAACTCCCACAGAGTAAAAGCATGCGTAGTGCCAGAAGATACAATAACTCACAGTTAACAAAATGAAACTTTAACAAGAGATCCTGCTGTTTGTAACTCAGCAGGGCATACTGTCCCCATTAAAAAAAACCTACCAAGTTTGTCAGCGTTCTAATCCTGGAAGTACTATATAAAGATCAAGCCTCCCAACTATCTAAACACCTACTGGATATTTTTTTTAAGCAATGCTTTTGTTTTAACTCTTACTGAATAAAATGATTTTTTAAAAGAGCACTATTTTGTATTTCCACCGATAACACAGCAACCTTGACTGAACACCTTAAACACCGGGGGGGGGGGGGGCTCGCTTACCTGCCACCGTCCATAGCTGAACAACAGTAATGTCACTGGGATGGCAGTGCCCGACATGGCATGCGTAGAGGGCATGCTGTACTCGGAGTTGTAGAAAACCTCCAGCTTGACCACGGGTGGGGATGCAGGTCTGGGCCAACGGATAAGGTCTTTGGTACACTGGCCCAGGTACATGACCCAGACCCAGACGATGATGAGCCTCCTGCCCAGCCAAGCATCCAGGTTCCAGATGCAGAAGGGGAAAAAGAGGATGTAGAACAGCTCGTTGCCCAGCTCCGTGCCCAGGCTGAACAGGTAATAGAGGAAGGGGCTGCGGATGGTGAAATCCTGGCATATCATTTCCCCAGTCAGAGAGTTGCGCCGAAGCTGCTTTTTGGGAATCCCGAGCCCAGGCTTCTCCTCTTTCTTCGGGGGCTTCATCTGGGCTTCCACCCCGCCGCAGGCTCCCCCGGAGAGCACCCCGTTCGAGTGCCACACGTCACCCTTCTCGCCCACATTGCAGGGGCCTTGGAAGCGGCACCTCCCGTCGTTCGCCCCATCCGGCTGGGTGGCCGGGCAGTTCCCGTTGGCCACAGGGGCCCCGGGCTCCAGGGGCCGGGGGGGAGAAGGGGCAGCCCCCCACTCTGGGGGCGCTTGCACGCCGCACAGCCTCTGGAAAGCGGCGACCTTCTCCGAATCCTGCAGGCAGTCGGCCAGGCGGCGCAAGGAGGACATCCTGAAGGGCTCCGGCCAGGAGGAGGCAGCTGTTGGCTTAGGAAGACGAGTCCAAAATCAGGGGTGCTGCACTGGGGGGGGGGAGAGAGATTCGGAAGAGCGTCAAGAGCGGTTTCATACATACATCATGCATATATACAAGCACCTATTTAAATAAACTGAGGAACTTTTTTTAAAAAAAGAAGGTTTGGGAAGGGGGGGTCCAGGGAAGAAGTCAGGAGCCCATCCCTTGGGGGTGGAGGAGAGGAGGGAATGGGGGGGGCTTGGGCTTATGGGGGGCTCCTGCTCCAAAGGACTTTGGCTGCCCTCCACCCCCCCCCAAAGCCATAGAAACTGGGGGGGGGGGAGGCGAGAAAGAGGGAGATTAGTGGTGTTTTGGCTGCACGAGGAAAGTGGGGTTGGGGGAGGGCAGGCTGTGGGGCTGAGGATGTGGGGTGGGGGGAGGCCCTGACTTTGGGGTCGGGGGTTACCTCAGGCGCTGGGGAAACGCCTCAGTGGGGGGGTGGGGGTAGGGGGGGGAGAGGCGACGGGCGGGAAGGGGGGAGAAGAAATGTGGGGTGGGGGCGCGGTCCTGACGGGGAGGGCGTCGAGGGGAGGGGGCGCTCGGCCAGGGCTGCTCTACCCGTCATTCCGTCCCGGCGTCGCGTCAGTCCGCTGCTCGGTCCGCCGGTCCTCTCCGCTCTCCCTCCCTCGGCTCCAGCGCCCAAGTCCCGCCTGCCGCCCGAGGAGGCGCCGCCACCCAGAGCGAGCGCGCACGCGCAGTGGTCTCGTCCCCCTCTCACCCCTCCCGCCGGAGAGGCCGTTGGAGCCGCTGGAACGTGGGCGCGAGGGAAGAGAGAGAAGGAGAAAGGAGCCGCCGAGGATGGGAGGGAGGGGAGGGATCGGGAGCGCGCGGCGGCGGCGCGCCTGTCGCGCATGCGCAGAAGGACAGAAGCCCTTCGCTAGCTCCTTACCCTTCCCCCCCCACAGCTGGAAACTGGCCCTCCCACCACATGATTGATTGATTGATTGATTGATTGATTGATTGATTAAAGCAGGGCTAAAGGAAATTTAAAAATAAATAAAGCAAATAGAATTTAAAGTGTTTTTATTTTTTTTGGGGGGGTGGGTAAAGGTAAATAGCTGTTTCCTATACTGTAAGCTACAGTTAGAACTGGATATGGAACAACTGATTGGCTCAAAATTGGGAAAGGAGTACGACAAGGCTGTATATTGTCTCCCTGCTTATTGAACTTATATGCAGAATTCACCAGGCGAAAGGCTGGGCTGGATGAATCCCTAGCCGGAATTAAGGTTGCCGGAAGAAATATCAACAACCTCAGATATGCAGATGACACAACCTTGATGGCAGAAAGTGAGGAGGAATTAAAGAACCTTTTAATGAGGGTGAAAGAGGAGAGTGCAAAATATGGTCTGAAGCCCAACATCTTGAGAGTCCCGTGCACTGCAAGAAGATGAGACCTATCAGCCCTGAGTGCTCACTGGAAGGACAGATCCTGAAGCTGAGGCTCCAATACTTTGGCCACCTCACGAGAAGAGAAGACTCCCTGGGAAAGACCCTGTTGTTGGGAAAGATGGAGGGCACAAGGAGAAGGGGATGACAGAGGACGAGATGGTGGGACAGTGTTCTCGAAGCTACCAGCATGAGTCTGACCAAACTGTGGGAGGCAGTGGAAGACAGGAGTGCCTGGTGTTCTCTGGTCCATGGGGACACGACTAAACAACAACAATACTGTAATTATGGAATTGTCTCCCAGGTCCTAGAATGAATCATGGAATCTTAGAGTTGGGAGGTGCCCCCAAGGGTCATGTAGTCCAACCCCCTGCCATGCAGGGAACTCAGCTAAAACATCCATGGCAGATGGCCATCCAACCTCAGCTTGAAAACCTCCAAGGCAGGAGAGTCCACCACCTCTGGTAGGCGTTTGTTCCACAACAGCTCTTACTGTCATAAAGTTCTTCCTGATGCTTAGTTAGAATCTCCTTCCAAGAAAGGAGATTCTGAAGCCATTGGTTCGAGTCCTACCCTCCAGAGCAGGAGAAGACAAGCTTGTTCCCTCCTCCATGTGACAGCCATTCAGAAATTTGAAGATAGCTATCATATCTCCTCTCAGTCTCCTCTTTTCTAACCTAAACATACGCAGCTCCTTCAACTGTTCTTCATAACGCTTGGTTTCTAGACCCTTCATCATCTTGGTTGCCCTCCTCTGCACACCTTCCAACTTGTGACACCCAGAATTGGAAACATTATTACAAGTGTGGTCTAGTTACGGCAAAATAGAGAGCTAATTACAGCAAAAAAGGAATGTGGGTGGTGCTGTGGTCTAAACCACAGAGCCTAGGACTTGCCAATCAGAAGGTCGGCGGTTCGAATCCCCTCAACGGGGTGAGCTCCCATTGCTCAGTCCCAGCTCCTGCCAACCTAGCAGTTCGAAAGCACGTCAAAGTGCAAGTAGATAAATAGGTACCACTCCAGCGGGAAGGTAAACGGTGTTTCCATTTGCTGCTCTGGTTCACCAGAAGCGGCTTAATCATGTTGGCCACATGACCCGGAAGCTGTCTGCGGACAAATGCCAGCTCCCTCGGCCAATAAAGTGAGATGAGCGCTGCAGCCCCAGAGTCGGCCACAACTAGACCTAACGGTCAGGGGTACCTTTACCTTTACCTTTACCTTGTTGTTTGTTGTTGTTTAGTCATGTCCGACTTTTTGTGACCCCATGGACCAGAGCACGCCAGGCACTTCTGTCTTCTACCTTTACCTAGAGAGCTACTATTCCTTCCCTTGATCTGAACACTATACTTCTGTTGATGCAGCCTAGAATAGCGTTAGCTTTTTTTGTTGCTGCATCACACTGTGGACTCATGTTAAGCTTGTGGTCCACCAAGACCCCTAGATTTTTCACATGTACTGCTAGTAAGCCAGGTGTCCCCCATCCTATATTTGTGCAACTGGTTCTTCCTGCCTAAGTGCAGAACCTGACATTTCTCCCCTATTGAAATTCATTTTGTTAGGTTGCGCCTAGTTCTCCAATCTGTTAAGGTCCTCTTCAATCCTGTTTCTGCCTTCCACAAGTCAGGGACAGCAAAGAACGTGGCCCACAAGACCAGGAGAACAATAAAATAATTAAAAACAACGTAAGATTATAAAATCATGAAATGCCAAACAAATGATGAACACAGAGTCAAATGAATTTTGTAAAAATGCTTGGCAGAACAAAGATGTTTCTGACATTATTAATTATGATAATAATGCTAGTGTAATTATAAATTACCTTTGTGTGGCTTTTAATTATAAGCTGTTTTGAGGACCAGTTGTGTGTGTGTGTGTGTGTGTGTGTGTGTGTATTTAATGCACAAATAGTGTACATGGAAGGTTTTAAACATGGCATAAGCTTTCTCTGCCTCTGTGTAAAAGGTGAACCTCCATTTCCTGAGACTGCCTGAGGACTTTGCCCAGCTGTTGTAAGACTATGACTAGGATATAGTGTCTGCCTCCCTCCCAGCAGCCCGGCCTAGTTGTGGCTGAGGGCAAGGTACAGGAAATGTTAGCATCTCGGCATCTGTTGACACTCCAGAGTGGCTGGGGAAACCCAGTCAGGTGGGCAGGGTGCAAATAATAAAATTATTATTATTGCTATTATTACTCAGTCTTGCATATTCGGATTCTGCATATGGAAAAGGCAAACTTTTGGCATTGCTTCTTACCTAGGGACCTCCCCCCCCCCCCTTTTCCTTTTTTGCAAATCCACAAATAATATCTCAGACGGCCTACAATTCAGTCAATCGGCATTTTTTCCCCCCGCTTTAAAAGTCAACAAATGCCCACCCAACCCCTTTTCTTTGCTTGGCTTGTGCGCACACATCAATGTTCGCTCCAGCTTCATTGCGCTCCCACAGCTGGTGATTGAAGCCAAAGTACCTATGACGTGAGCCATGATCCATCTGGATCCTGTCTCTCCTGTCTGATGCCCTTTCCCTCAAATCAGCTTCCGCCCTCGGAAGCTGAGGTCAGGCGGAGCTGCCTGCATTTCAGGCAGCCGGTGACTTGCCCCGATGACAGCTTCAGTGAATTGGAGGGAAATCAGTTAATGGGCAACTGGCGAAGTTATCTTTGCCCCTTCTCTGGCATGAACAGAGGTTTGAGAAACTGGAAGGAGAGATCACCTCGCTGTCTTTCAAGCCACTAATGTGTGCATAGCCTTAGTTCCCTGCCTTTCGTGGCTCACTTTAGTTAAAAGTTACTTTGCTGGTTTGTTTAACATATTTCTATAACACCCTTCACACACAAAAATGTTCAGCTTACGGCTTTGATCTGTGGAACTAATACAGTACCACCTAATTCACGGCTGTGAAAACAATCTTTTAGGACAGTGGAATTCCCTGCCTATTGACATTAAGCAGGTGTCCTTGTTGTGCTCTTTTCAGCACCTGCTTAAAACATTTCTGTTTGGGCAAGAGATAGCAATGTGTTTCATTACTACCTCATATTGTTAATTATTTTGAAATGCTGTTTTACTATTTTTATTTATAATTTTAATATCAGTTGTAAACCACTTAGAGGTTTTACAACAATCATGTGGTACATACATTGTGTTAAATAAAACCAATAACAAAAAATGCATATCAAAAAGACGCTGTTGTCTTTTTGATGTCCAGTGAAGATCTTCCTTTTTCAAGAAGACTTTGAAGTGGAGATATTTATTCTAGCCTGTTGCCTGTCATTGGATTTGACATTGTTTTCGCACACAAAAATCATCATCGCTTTTAATTTGTATACCGTCTTTCTATCTTACAATAGCCAAGCTGAAGAAACAAGGAGTGTACACCTTATAAAATCTAATGCAATACAGAAATGTGATAATACAACATAACTTTACTTATGTGTACATTTTGGGGAGGGGTGCGGGTGGCGCTGTGGTCTAAACCACAGAGCCTAGGGCTTGCCGATTGGAAGGTTGATGGTTCAAATCCCCGCAATGGGGTGAGCTCCTATTGTTCCGCTCCAGCTCCTGCCCACCTAGCAGTTCGAAAGCACAACAGTGCAAGTAGATAAATAGGTACCGCTCCGGCGGGAAGGTAAACGGTGTTTCTGTGCGCTGCTCTGGTTCGCCAGAAGTGGCTTAGTCATGCTGGCCACATGACCCGGAAGCTGTCTGTGGACAAATGCCGGCTCCCTCGGCCTATAGAGCGAGATGAGCGCTACAACCCCAGAACTGTCTGTGACTGGACCTAATGGTCAGGGGTACCTTTACCTTTACATGTGTTTGTAATTGTCGCAATTGTTTTACTATATGAAATAGCGCAACTGTTCTTGCTGTTGGCTTTTTTAAATTGTGCAATCACTTCAAGGCATTTGTGGGAAGCAATTCATGTAGGAAAATAAGCAGGCACTCACAGAAATGAGTTCTTGTCTGTAGATGATGGGATCTTGCAGGCACTGATGCAACTATACTGTCATGCATTGGCTGGAGACAGAGGAGGAGTGGGAGGCACCAGTTGGGAAACCCCCATGGGAAAACAGCTCGGAGCCCAGGGAGTGGTGGTTGGACACCATGCATGGTCAGAGGGAGGAGAGGGAGCAGACAGGGAGGTGTTGGTGTTGGAAGATGAAGTGGTAACAGGGTTTAGTGAGCAGGAAGAGGCTGTGGCAGAGAGCGGTCCAGAATCAGAGACAGAAGCAGAGGCTGGAGAGGAGGGAGACCAAGAGGCCAAGATGAATCAGGGTGGTCAAGAAGGCAAGAGGTCTCCCCCTCCTGCTGCAACTAGCTCCCCTCCTCCCTGGTCGCCCAGACCCAAAGAGGTATGAAGAGGGAGAAGCAAAGACAGGCAAGGCGACAGAGTCTCAGATTGCTTGGGAAATGTACAGGGGGTGGGAGGAGACTTGGAGAGCTCTGGAACGCCAGGGACCTTCAGTCCTTGCAACTACCTCATTGGGGTTAGACCTGCTGGAAAGAGTTGCTGTGCTCGCTAGGCCTGAACTGTTTAGTTTCTTTGAACACAAAGTTAACTTCATTGGCACCTTGTGAGTTATGGCTGACTTGCTTCCAACATCTGCCCTGACATATATGCTGGTTAGTGGAACAGTGCATTTGCTCAATGCACTGCACAATCCCATGCTTGCTTCCTCGGAATATATCTCATTTATTTAAACGCGGTTTGCTCACAAGTCCAGGAGGAGAATGACTGCAGCATTAACGCTAGGGAAATTTAATGCCCTTGCAGTAGAAACAGAAGCTTGGATTACAAGTGCTTGGATATCCCCACATTGCAAGCACTTTGAAGAATGCTGTCTGGGTGCCACACCACAAGTCTGGTATCTTGTGTGCGTTCTGAGCCCAAAGTCAATGTCCTTTGGAAAGCCCTTAGTTAAGAGGATTAAAGCTGCAAACTCGCTTGTATTGACTTGGGAGTAAGCCCCATTGGGCACAGTAGGGCTTACTTCCAGGTAAATACACACAGGATCAAGTTGTAACATGAACTTTGCTGAAACAATACTGCAGCCTGCAATAAGATCAGGACTCTGTCTTAAGAAGGCTGTCAAAAGATAGAGAGAAGGTCCTTTCGTTGGGTAATCTGAGACAGCTACTCCAGGCAGCAGATGTTGAGTGCTGAGTAGGACATAGACAGATATCACCCTATGAGGTTGCCCTCCTCTGCACACTTTCCAGTTTATCAATATCCTTCCTAAATTGTGGTGCCCAGAATTGGACACAGTATTCCAAGTGTGGTCTGGCTAAGGCAGAATAGAGAGCTACTATTACTTCCCTTAAAAAGGACGCGGGTGGTGCTGTGGGTTAAACCACAGAGTCTAGGACTTGCTGATCAGAAGGTCGGCGGTTCGAATCCCCGCCACGGGGTGAGAACCCCTTGCTCGGTCCCTGCTCCTGCCAACCTAGCAGTTCGAAAGCATGTCAAAGTGCAAGTAGATAAATAGGTACCGCTCCGGCGGGAAGGTAAACGGCATTTCTGTGCGCTGCTCTGGTTTGCCAGAAGCGGCTTAGTCATGCTGGCCACATGACCCGGAAGCTGTATGCCGGCTCCCTCGGCCAATAAAGCGAGATGAGAGCCGCAACCCCAGAGTCGGCCACGACAGGACCTAATGGTCAGGGGTCCCATTACCCTTTACCTTTATTACTTCTGGCCACTAGACTTCTGTTGATGCAACCTAGAATACAATTAGCCCTCTTTTGCTGCTGCATCACACTGTTGACTCATGTTAAGCTTGTGGTCCACCATGACCCCTAGATTCTTTTCATATGTACTACCAGCAGTGCTTTTTTTTCTAGAAAAAAGAAAAAAGAGATGCCAAAACTCACCATGAACACCTCCCTTGTTCTCTTAGAATGGCAATGGTGCCTTTCTGAGGGGTGCCAGAACTGAGTTTCGGTGAGTTCCAGCTGGAAAAAAAATATTTCTGATACTAGTAAGCCAGGTGTCCCTGATGTTATATTTGTGCATCTGGTTTGTCCTGCCTAAGTGCAGAACCTTAGATTTGTCCCTATTGAAATTCATTTAGTTAGCTAGCGCCCAGTTCTCCAATCTGTTAAGGTCATTTTGAATCCTGATTCTGTCTCCTCCTGCATTAGCTACCTCTCCCAGTTTGGTGTCGCCTGCAGATTGGATGAACATCACTTCAGTTCCTTCCTGCAAGTCGTTTACAAAGACACTGAACAACAACAGACCCATGTCACCCCATTTGTCACTTTCCTCCACAATGATGAAGAACCACAAATGAGCACTCTTTAGGTTCGGTCAGTCAACCAGCTGCAAATCCATCTACCTATCTCAGAGCTGAGGGAGGAGCCACTCACATTGATAGCCTCCACTCTCTGGCTTTGCTAATGACCTATTACCTTCTCTTAATCTTTGATTAATTGCTGATCTCCCAGGCGATTTCCAGAACATGAGAAGCTGGTTTGGCCTGTATTTTAACACTTTGCTAAATCCAGTGTCTGGCAGCCTTTTTACCTCTCCAACCATTGATTAAATTCTAACACCTATCAGACCCAGGAATTTAGGGGAATCTGGAATCCACATACCCCGGCACCAACAACAGATACTCCGATGATGGAGGTAAAACCAGTTAAACAGAGTTCTACTTTGTGATCCTGCAGTTCCTAGCCCTCTTGGGGCTGTTCAAAGTTTGAGCGAGACTTCGTTTTGGAGCAAGCTAGGCTAATTTTTGCTTGGCGGGAAGCAAGGAGCAGCAGTTGTAAACAGCATCGTGCCTTGGTGACTTCACAACACCACCCCAACCGTTCTCCTTCTTCTAATTAACTTATCTTATTGGCAAGGAAGTCACTAATGATATAAAGGGACGCGGGTGGCACTGTGGTCTAAACCACTGAGCCTCTTGGTCTTGCTGATCAGTAGGTTGGCAGTTTGAATCCCCATGATGGGGTGAGCTCCCATTTCTCTGTCTCAACTCCTGCCAACCTAGCTGTTCAAAAGCATACTAGTGCAAGTAGATAATTAGGTACCGCTGCGGACGGAAGGTAAACAGCATTTCCATGCGCTCCGGTTTCCATCATGGTGTTCTGTTGCGCCAGAAGCAGTTTAGTCATGCTGGTCACATGACCTAGAAAGCTGTCTGTGGACAAATGCCGGCTCCCTCAGCCTGAAAGCGAGATGAGCGCCGCAACCCCAGAGTCACCTTTGACTGGACTTAACTGTCCAGAGGTCCTTTACCTTTACTTTTTTTTACTCTTGATATTCCGCAACTGTCACAGTCCGGTTTACGGGCGATCGAAGTCCCAGCTGAGGACGTCAGGACCGGGGGCAAGATGGCGGGGTGGGAGCAGGAATGAGAGTCCAGAAGCCAAGAGTCCGAGGATCAGAGAGCCAGGAGTCAAGAAGCCAAAGGTCAGGAAGCAAGGAGTCACAAAGTCAAGGGTCTGAGGATTAAGAAGCAAGGAGTCGCGAAGTCAGGGGTCCAAGGATTAAGAAGCAAGGAGTCAAGGAGCCAAACGCAACAAGGCAGGAAACGTGTTGCTGTGACAAAGAGCCAAAGGGAAATGCTGACCTTATACCCCTTCCCGGCTCTTGCCACCAGGTGCTGTGAGTTACCAATCGGCCTCACCTGTGCGGCTGCGCCTTGCCTCTTCAGAGCAAACTTAGGAAGGCCCCAGTCCTGCAAAGTCCTACTGGTCACAGGGCCTGGCTCCTGCACACACTCCTGACAGCAACTACTTGAGGAGCACTGACTAACCCTTCGAAAGATGCACTTACTATGCAATCCTAATCATGTCTAATGGGCAGAACATCCTACAGAATTCAGTGGGGCTTACTCTCAGGAAAGTGGGTTAGGATTGCAAGCTCCCTCAGCCAACGTAATACTAGAGGGTTTGGCCACTAGACATTTAAGCAGTATTATGCCACTTTAAACTGCCATGGCTTCCGCCCAAATAATTCTAGGAGCTGTTGGTTGATATGGGTGGTAAGAGTAGTTAGCAAATTCCCCACAGAGAGCTGCAATCCCTGGATTCCCTGGGAAGAGGGATATACTCATTGATATGGTTGATATGGGTGGTAAGAGTAGTTAGCAAATTCCCCACAGAGAGCTGCAATCCCTGGATTCCCTGGGAAGAGGGATATACTCATTGCTATTTTTCTAGAAAAAGAGGTGCCGGAACTCACTATTAATGCCTCCCTTCTTCTCATGTAAAGGCAATGGTGCCCACCTGTGAGGCGACTTAACTGAGTGCCATCGAGTTCCAGCTGAAAAATAGCCCTAGATATACAGTGGTACCTCAGGTTAAGTACTTAATTCGTTCTGGAGGTCCGTACTTAACCGGAAACTGTTCTTAACACGAAGCACCACTTTAGCTAATGGGGCCTCCTGCTGCTGCCATGCTGCCGGAGCCCGATTTCTGTTCTCATCCTGAAGCAAAGTTCTTAACCTGAAGCACTATTTCTGGGTTAGCAGAGTCTGTAACCTGAAGCATATGTAACCTGAACCGTATGTAACCTGAGGTACCACTGTACTGCTATACCACCCTTAGAACTGTAGCCCTGCAAGGGGTGTAGGGGCTTCCTTAACAAACTCTCAGCCCCCTTAACAAACTCTCAGCTCCCATAATTCTTTGGGGGAAAGCACTGGTATCATAGCCCTTTCAGCACTTTGTGAAGCAGAGATCAAGGTCTTGCAATATAACTCATGTCTGGATCTCACATCAGGTTCAAATGACACCTCCACCCTGTTGCAAAACAGCGCAAGAGCATGCGAAGGGCCTACGTGAACACACAGTCTACACCTGCCAACCTGACCTGTGTTTGGCTGGTTATGTGAAGGGTCCCTCTGCGAGTCCCGACACACACACACACACACACACAAACACACAAAGATTCTGGCCCAACTAGGGTTCCCAAAACGTGAAGGGCTCCTTCACATGCACTTTGGGATGTGTGTTGAGTCCTCTCACGTGCTGGCTGAAAGCACTGGCAGCAGTGTGTCTGAATAGGGCCGGCCCTAACACTAAACAGCAATCGGGGCGCCTCAGGCGGCAAATCGGAGGTATCATGAAAGGTAAGCCCATTGTTGTTTCTTTAACTTAATGTTTTACTTTATTGAGAGGGGGAGAGGTGCTTGTGGGATTGTCGGGTGCCAAATAACTTGACTGGCCTTGAGTATTATGCATCCTGTGTGTTGACACACAGGTTTGCTGCTCCGCCCTAGGCAATAGAGGGTCTTTGGCAACCCTTGGGTGGGGGGGTTGCTACTGCTGCATACAGTAGCAGTGTTTGTATGGGGAGTGGGTAGATTGCACAACACCACAGTCCTCTGCAGACTTTCTTTCAGCAGCTGTGTGGGTGGGTGGGGTGAATTCTCTGACACCCACCCACAGTCCCACACCCTGGAGGGGAAATGTCATCCCACCCTGTACAATACACATGCTTACAGATATGCAATTGGTGCAATCGCACTATATGTGTCATACGCTTGCAACGCATGGTGTCACTCTAAAAATGTAATGTGTGAAGAGGTCTGGTTATTGCAAGGAGGTAGTGCTAGAGCTGTGACTTTTAGATCTGCAAATTCAATGCAGCAAGGAAGGAAACAGAAGGCGCTACTAAAAGAACTCTGTCAGCAGAACACTTGCAGGAATCCAGCTCCTCCTGCCTGTTTTCTCTCTTTCCGCTCCTCTCTCCATTATTTTTGTTCATTCTTTAATGTGCTTAAAAGCCTTACTGTAACCATATCGTATCCTGCCAACCTAGCAGTTTGAAAGCACATCAAAGTGCAAGTAGATAAATAGATACCGCTCCGGCAGGAAGGTAAACGGCGTTTCCGTGTGCTGCTCTGGTTCACCAGAAGCGGCTTAGTCATGCTGGCCCCATGACCCGGAAGCTGTACACCGGCTCCCTCGGCCAACAAAGCGAGATGAGCACCGCAACCCCAGAGTCAGCCACAACTGGACCTAATTGTCAGGGGTCCCTTTACCTTTAACCATATTGTAAGACGGTAATACCAGTCTGCCTCTCAAATAATTCTTAAGTACAGGGTGAAAATAAAGGTAGAAAGGTTAACTTGATTAACATGATATTTGGCAACCAACAACCGATCGCTTTGTCTCACTTTCCAAGTGATATCTGCATCCATTTCCTTTCTGGTCATTATTGAATCAGGCCACACTGCCATAAATCCCTTTAACAATCTATAGTTACGATGCCAGCAGCATTGCCTAATCAGAAGATGCATGCCTGGAAGATGGCTATAAAACCAGGGCCTCGTTAACACTACAAACTTAAAGCTGATTTAAGCCATTGCATTGTTGTTTAGTCGTGTCCGACTCTTCATGACCCCATGGACCAGAGCACGCCAGGCCCACTGCCTCCCGCAGTTTGGTCAAACTCATGCTGGTAGCTTCGACAACACTGTCCAACCATCTCGTCCTCTGTCGTCCCCTTCTCCTTGTGCCCTCAATCTTTCCCAACATCAGGGTCTTTTCCAGGGAGTCTTCCCTTTTCATGAGGTGGCCAAAGTATTGGAGCCTCAGCTTCACAATCTGTCCTTCCAGTGAGCACTCAGGGCTGATTTCCTTAAGAATGGATTGGTTTGATCTTCTTGCAGTCCATGGGATTCTCAAGAGTCTCCTCCAGCACCAGAATTCAAAAGCATCAATTCTTCAGCGATCAGCCTTCTTTATGGTCCAGCTCTCACTTCCATACATCACTACTGGGAAAAGCATAGCTTTAACTATACGGACCTTTGTTGGCAAGGTGATTTGTTGGCCATTGCATTAGGACTGATAATTTTGTGCAATGGGACTCTGGGCACTCTGCTACAATTGCAAAACCACAGTTCCCAGGATCCTTCCCCTACTTGGCCCTTAGGACTCCTAGCAGGCTAGCACCCTCACCAACCTCTTCAAGCCACCGCCCCTGACCCCCCCCCCACACCTATCTTGCTCCCTCCTTTAATGTTTTTGCCTTGCTGGAATATGTCATTGAACTCCAAGACAGGCACATCCCATTCTGTTGTTTAATGTGGATAGCAAGCTTCCTTTGGAAGTAAGTTTCAGTTTGAGAAGTAGCTTGTCTCTTTGGCAATCACGACGCCTGTGTTCTCAATGGGTTTTGTGCGTATGTTGCTCCTCCCTATGCGCATGTTGCGACTTTAATGCGCAAACATAAAGCTCGTCTATACTGTCATTTAATGCGCCTCAGAAGATGATGTCAGGGTCCGGGTGGGTTCATACGGAAAGAGGTGGTCCTTGAGGTATTGCGGTCCTTGAGTCAAAGGACCCTGGACCTCAGCCTGAAAAATGTTCTCCACCTGCACTATGCTTTGCTAAACACAAAGGTGGTAGCTGAGTGGAAAATAACACCAGAGAGTCATTTAATCCTCAACTCCAGCTTCAAACAGCCTGGGATCAATATGCCTCAAAGACCAGCTGCTTCTTGCTGCCCCCACCTTGCACACTGTCACTATGACCTTGTGCATTGTGCAGCGCATGCCCTTCATTGCACACCGTCTGCAGATTTCCTCTCAAAGTTTGCGGAGACGTCACTGTTGCCCATCAAACAAAGCGCGGTATTTTGCACCTGTTCTTCTTCTTCTCGGCTTGCAGGTGTTTTGTTTGTCAGTGCCTTGAATAACCACTTGCCCTACACGGCACCTTGCAGCTGTTGTTCCCCAAAATTGTGCATTAATTGCTCTTTGTGGGAACTGTGTGGAATGAGAGCACTTCCAGACAACCAGTGCTATTTTTCTAGAGAAAAGAGGTGTCAGAGCTCACCGTGAACACCTCCATTGTTTTCTAATGATGGCAATGGCGCCCACCTGAGACGTGCCGGAGCTGAGTTCTGCAAGTTCCTGCTGGAAAAATGGCCTGTAGACAACCTATTGACCATTCATCCTGATTTGCCGCAGTATGGTGCAGTGCATGTACAGAATGGGAGGCGAGAAGAGGAGGGAAGGGCAAATTTTGGACTCACACTGGGCGCCACTGAAAGACCAAACTCCACCTTTGGTTGATACGTAATGAAAACAAGGGGGGCAGTACAGTGGTACCTCGGCTTACATACGCTTCAGGTTACATATGCTTCAGGTTACAGACTCCACTAACCCAGAAATATTACCTCAGGTTAAGAACTTTGCTTCAGGATGAGAACAGAAACTGTGCTCTGGCGGCACGGCAGCAGCAGGAGGTCCCATTAGCTAAAGTGGTGCTTCAGGTTAAGAACAGTTTCAGGTTAAGTACGGACCTCCGGAACAAATTAAGTACTTAACCGGAGGTACCACTGTATTTTATGTATGCATGTATGTATTTATAAGGTGCCATCAATAGGTTCTTAAATGGTCCCTGCCCCAAAGGGTTTACAGTCATAATTTTGACACAGAGAAACTACAGAGGAAGGGGAGAGGTCCAGGGATAAGCAAGGAGAATATGGGCTACTGCGTGAGATGCAATAATAATAACAGATGCCAACAAAGCAGGGTTTTGTGTCTGTGTGTGGTTTTTTTAAAAAAAAAATAAGTAGAAAATTAGTAAGTACAAAAAATAAAATGAATTTCAATGTTTTCTTAAGCTGGAAAAAAATAGTACAATAAAGGAAAAAATAATGCAAAAGTTATATGTATAAACATGAACGGCAAATCCTGTACTTCTATGTGGGTTCCTCCACATAGGCATTCTCTGTTGGAGTATTTCTCTTCCAAAAAGGCATCCACTGTGCCAAAAGTATTATTTGTTGTAACTATTTGTTTTTAATACAGCCCTTTGATCATATTTCCTGGGCTGTTTACAAGATAACTGAAACAACTAAAAGGCACAGGAAAGAAAGAAAGAAAGAAAGAAAGAAAGAAAGAAAGAGCTAAATGCCAAAAAATTATAAGAGCGGCATAAAGAAAATAACTCCTCTCACCTTCCCAAAGATGCGTGGTATGGCTTAATTTCTAGATAAGCATCAGATTCCATTTCTCACGCTTCCAGACCTCAGAGAAGATTTTGTTTGTTCGTTTTTTAGCTGGTGAAAGTCAGAGTTGCTTCTTAAACTCTTCTGCTCTGTGCATAGATAGAATCGGGAGCTTGGATATCTAGATGAAATGCAAAACTGTTTCATGGCGAAGGCTCAAAGCCAAGCTATCCCAGTCCAGGGTGTGCCTACATCTGAAGGCGAGGAGAACAGAGCTTACTGGAAGAGTTTTGTTCACAGGAGTTTGGGGGATCACGTGATCCGCAAAGTCACTTTGCCACTTGAAGCTCACTTCTGCTATGCAGCTTGGAAAAGAGCTGATAAGACTCTTCCAGCCACCCACACAGCTACACCAGTCTCATCCTTTTCTTTGTCGGGTGTCAAGCATATTCCAAAGGCACCCTTAAGTGTGTGCAACAACCATATAGTGGTAGGGAAAGGAAAACACTCTGTACATGCTCAGAGGTGCTTGCTTATTTCTTCACATATTCCAGGGGTGGGCCAAGCATTACAAAAGAAAGAAAAAATAAATCTCAAGCTTCAGATCCTGAGTCAAATTCATAATTGTAGGGTGCCCTTTACATTTCCCCTAACTAAGCTTTGAACAGAATTTGTACTGGGACTATGAAACGGTGGAATAAGACATTTTTTCGATGTATCTTAGTATATTTTTTCAATATATGTTAGTATATCCTCCTGGCTATTACTTATCCCCTGTTTTCAGTGGGGATAAGTCATAAAAACAGAGGGCAGGAGATCTACTTTGGCGATCACTTGTAGCCGAGTAAGATTGACTTCCATAAACATGGTTTTAGCAATGAGTCCGTAAGTGACTGTGGAGGCCAATTCTGGATCCACATGTCCTTCCACAGTGGGGACATTGGTTTCCGGGCGGGAGTTGATCACGGTGAGGGTTTGCCAAGCGTGCCTTCCTCCTAGCACGTTTCTCCCTTGCATCCTGAGTTCAAGTGTCTTCAAAGCCCATGACACCTTGGTAAAGGCTGTTCTCCAACTGGAGATCTCGCAGGCCAGTGTTTCCCAGTTGTCAGTGTTTATACTACATTTTTTAAGATTTGCTTTGAGACAGTCTTTAAACCTCTTTTGTTGACCACCAGCATTACACTTTCCATTTTTAATTTCGGAATATAGTAGATGCTTTGGAAGACGATCATCAGGCATCCGCACAACATGACCAGTCCAACGAAGTTGATGTTGAAGATTCATTGCTTCAATGGGACAAGGGTGTGGATTAAGGTGGGTAAGGAAGCCTAAAATAGATCTGTTTTGTTGTTTTTTCATGGTGTTGTTTTTTAAATATCAAATATCATCCTAGGAGCGTCTCCACCCCCATCGTTCAGCTTGGATACTGAGGTCCAGCTCCGAGGACCTTCAGGCAGTTCCCCCCTGCGAGAAGTGAGGTTACAGGGAACCAGGCCTTCTCAGTAGTGGCACCCACCCTGTGGAACACCCTCCCATCAGATGTCAAAGAGATAAACAACTACCTGACATTTAGAAGACATCTGAAGGCAGCCCTGCTTAGGGAAGTTTTTAATGTTTGATCTTTTATCGTGTTTTTAATATTCTGTTGGGATCTGCTCAGAGTGGCTGGGGAAGCCCAGCCAGATGGGCGGGGTATAAATAATAAATTATTATTATTAGTAGTAGTAGTAGTATTATAGCTCAGTTGGTAGAGCATGAGACTGTAAATCTCAGACTCATAAGTTCATATAGCTGAAAGAGTCCAGCATTGCAGGGGGTTCGATTAGTTGGCCCTCGTGTTCCCTTCCAACTCTGCAATGTTACAAATTATTTCAGAAATTTCTCTTGCTTTTTCTTGTTGTGCCCTGTTCTGCTTATGCCCTAAGCACAAGCTTGTTGGGCAATCGAGCACGGATTGATTATAAATCAGGGTATGTGATTCTTACGCAAATACACATCCTCTTTTTTTCAGCGATGCATCCTCTTTCTCTCCGCAGTTGGCGGATTAAAGGGAAGTGCTTCTGTGACTCGGGTGAAGGTGTCAGCGCGTCTGGCTGTTAACCAGAAGTTTGGTGGCTTGAGCCCACCCAGGGACGGGATGCCTGCCTTGCAGTGGGGTTGGACTAGATGATCCTCAGGATCACTTTCAGCTCTAGGATTCCACTCTGGGATTGTGTGAGACCTGAGTTCAAATCCTGACTCAACCTGGTGTGGCCCTGCATGAAAAACCTCTCCCTTTTGATACAATACAATAATCTTTATTGTCATTGTCCCATACAGAACAACAAAATTGAAAAAAATCTACATCAGACATTCAAAAACCAACAAGCCTGCTATCCCAGCCTGGTTAACCCCCTAAAAACTCTGATACCCCATAATTAAATACAATATACTCCCACAGAGACTACCTTACACTGCGTTTAAAACCAAAATCGCATTTGGATAAAAACTGTTTCTCAGGCGGCCAGTCCTAGTCTTTATAACCCTGTACCTTCTTCCAGAAGGCAGAAGCTGAAAGAGATCATTTCCAGGGTGCGCACTATCCTGCGCTATCTCTGCAGCTTTCTTATGGCACCTGGAAGCATAGATTTGATCCAAGGTGGGAAGAGTGCACCCAATTATTCACTCCGCAGTCTTTACAACCCTGGACAGCCTTGTTTTTCCCCTGACCGTGCAGCTCCCAAACCACACACAGAGACCATAAGTTAATACACTCTCAACTGCACAATGATAAAAAGCCCTCAACAGGTCCTTTGAGAGATTATTTTCCCGGGAGGATTCTCAGAAAATATCACCTCTGCTGTGCTCTCTTCATCAGGTCTTTACTGTTTTCTCCCAGGTTAGGTCATCTGCTGCCCTGCCCCACAGGGTTGAGGATAAGGTGGGTCGATCCCTTGGAGGCCTCCCTGGGAAGAAGGGGGACAAGAGGAAAACGTGAGATATAGTCGCTCTTTCTCCATGCGCGCGCATGGGTGCGCATAGTTGCCATGGCAAACACCGTTCCCATAAACAGGCCCCCTAAGCGCTGCTCATATCACACCAGGTCAATGAGGCATCACTAAGCGCCATTATCTCGCTGGTCTTCTAGGCCTCAATTTAAGCAGTTTTACTTAAATTAGCGGCACCCGCGAGGGTAGTTATTAGAACATTACAAAAAGAGAGGATTTATGGTTAGCAAGCGAGGCCGCAGCTGCAGCTGGGAGAGCCTTCTCCTGTTGCCTTCCATTCATGCTCTCGTCGCTCATCGCTCCTGTCAGGGAACTGACATCGGAGCTAGAGGTGGAGGGAAGGCTCTCTAATGATGCTGGAGAAGGGCCCAGCAGGGAGAGAGGCAGCTCAGCAGATGGGGAAGCAATTCAGTGCAACACCAGGAATAAGGAGGGGCAGATGGGGGAATCGGCGAGAGGGCTCCCAGACTCTTCACCGGACACCAGCGGGGAGAGCACTGGTCCCCCGCTACCCACGCCTACCCTGAGCAGAAGACTTCCGTGCAGAGAAAGTAGGAGGAGACTGGGTGTCAAACAACTTTTATGTTGGAAAAGGTTTAAGAAACGCCCACTGACGGATTCTGCTAGCGACTGAGGCAGCCACGAATTGAAGGGCTGTCCAGACAGAAAGGTTTAACAAGGCAACATAGCCAGGAGAGGCGGCAACTTACGCACGAGCAACCCCATACCATTATAGCTCCCTTCCTTTGAACAGGGCTTCGAGACTTGCTCCTGCTTTTGGCTGACAGCCGTGCTACACGTCTTCCATTCAGGTCCAGTCGTGGCCGACTCTGAGGTTGCGGCGCTCATCTCGCTTTATTGGCCAAGGGAGCCGGCGTACAGCTTCTGGGTCATGTGGCCAGCATGACTAAGCCACTTCTGGCGAACCAGAGCAGCGCACGGAAACGCTGTTTACCTTCCCGCCGGAGTGGTACCTATTTATCTACTTGCACTTTGACGTGCTTTTGAACTGCTAGGTTGGCAGGAGCAGGGACCGAGCAACAGGAGCTCACCCCGTCGTGGGGATTCAAACTGCCAACCTTCTGACTGGCAAGTCCTAGGCTCTGTGGTTTAACCCACAGCGCCACCCGTGTCCCTATGCTAGTATTTAGCGAAAGCCAAAACTGGGACACTGGCTAGCTTGAGGATTACACTAACAGCACATCAGTCATGTCTATTACAGTTGTACCTTGGAAGTCGAACAGAATCCATTCCAGAAGTCCATTTGACTTCCAAAACGTTTGAAAATCAAAGCACAGCTTTTGGTTGGCTGCAGGAACCTCCTGCAGCCAATCAGAAGCCACAGAAGCCCCATTGGACGTTCAGGTTCCGAAGAACGTTCGCAAACTGGAACACTCCCAGGTTTGCGGCATTCAGGAGCCAAAATGTCCTCGTACTAAGGCGTTCGGGATCCAAGGTACGACTGTAAAATATTTTCCGTTTAAGAGAAAAAGGAAATAATAATTAAAAAAAAACAGAGCAGAGAGATCAGGGAAGCATGGGGCATGGAGACAGAGGGAAAGCATAGAAAGATGGGGCAAAGAGGTTAAAAAATAAAAGGGGATTGTCAGGGAACTGACATCGGAGCTAGAGGTGGAGGGGAGGCTCTCTAATGATGCTGGAGAAGGGCCCAGCAGATGGGGAAGCAATTCAGTGCAACACCAGGAATAAGGAGGGGCAGATGGGGGAATCGGCGAGAGGGCTCCCAGACTCTTCACCGGACACCAGCGAGGAGAGCACTGGTCCTCCGCTACCCACGCCCTCCCTGCGCAGAAGTCTTCCGCGCAGGGAGAGTAGGAGGAGACTTGGCGTCAAACAACTTTTATGTTGGAAAAGGTTTAATAAACGCCCACTGACGGATTCTGCTAGCGACTGAGGCAGCCACGAATTGAAGGGCTGTCCAGACAGAAAGGTTTAACAAGGCAACATAGCCAGGAGAGGCAGCAACTCTATGCACGAGCAACCCCATACCATTATATTTCCGTTTAAGAGAAAAAGGAAATAATAAAAAAAACAACTGGGCAGAGACATCAGGGAAGCGTGGGGCATGGAGACAGAGGGAAAGCATAGAAAGATGGGGCAAAGAGGTTAAAAAATAAAAGGGGATGTATGTAGCAGGTTGAAGTTAAAGATGAGCCCTGGCCGAGTCTTAAAAGGTTGAAGACAATTGTTATAAGTGAACATGTGAATTTGGACCAGGGAGAGTTGGATTCAAGGCCCTTTCCCGCACCTGGGAACTGTAGTACACCTTCACAGAACTACAATTCCCAGGACCCTTAACAAACTACAGTTTCAGGATTCGTTGGAGGGGAAGCTATTTGCTTTAAATGTATGGTGGAGACTTATTGGGCAGCTTTCAGCAAGTCCTTGTCTTTCAGCCTAACTGACCCCAAAGATACATTTTTACGAGTCAGCGGGACAACTTACTGCCACCTTGAACTCCTTAGAGAAAGAACGGGAATCGGGAACCGCAAGGGAGAGATGTTGATTTTCACATGATTTCCCCTTTGGACATGTGGCAACTCATTTTCAGGGACCTTTCAACATTTGTGAGTCAAAGAAAGCAATCTTCTCACATGACACCCCCCCCACCAAAGTATACATTACAGGCAGCTACATGCAGAAATTCCTGCTGCGAAGGGTGAGTTGGGCAATAAGAGTCATTCTATCACCGTGGTGCAGGGAACAGCAACCTGTTCCCAAAGCCTCATTAAATACAATACCTCCATTATTCTATGGTTCTATGTCTAACTAAAGCATCACAAGAGACCAGAAGCCTCATAAGATGTGTTAACACCTTTCAACTTACAAGGAAGGAAATTTATAATAATAATAATAATAATAATAATAATAATAAATAATAATAATTTATTATTTATACCCTGCCCATCTGGCCGGGCCTGCCCAGCCACTCTGGGCAGCTCCCAACAGAATTTTAAAAACACAATAAAACATCAAACATTAAAAACTTCCCTAAACAAGGCTTCCTTCAGATGTCTTCTTAAAGTCACATAGTTGTTTATTTCCTCGACATCTGATGGGAGGGCGTTCCACAGGGCGGGCGCCACCACCGAGAAGGCCCTCTGCCTGGTTCCCTGGAACCTCACTTCTTGTAGTGAGGAAACCACCAGAAGGCCCTCGGAGCTGGACCTCAGTGTCCGGGCCGGACGATGGGGGTGGAGACGCTCCTTCAACAGTACTTTCCCCCAGAGGCTCCTGGGGTACAGCCTTTATACTGGGATGCATTTACTCAGGAGTACGTCTTGGTGAGGGACGCGGGTGGCACTGTGGGTTAAACGTCAGAGCCTAGGACTTGCTGATCAGAAGGTTGGTGGTTCGAATCCCTGCGACTGGGTGAGCTCCTGTTGCTCGGTCCCTGCTCCTGCCAACCTAGCAGTTCAAAAGCACGTCAAAGTGTAAGTAGATAAATAGGTACTGCTCCGGCGGGAAGGTAAACGGTTTTTCCGTGTGCTGCTCTGGTTCGCCAGAAGCGGCTTAGTCATGCTGGCCACATGACCCGGAAGCTGTATGCTGGATCTCTCGGCCAGTAAACCCCAGAGTTGGTCACGACGGGACCTAATGGTCAGGGGTCCCTTTACCTTTAAGACTTGGTGAACTTGATGACGCTTGCTCATGAGTAGGCACACATGAGGCTTGCCCTCCATTTTGACCTAAGCTGGTCTCAACCCCGGTCCAGCTCATGCACAAAGTTGTGATCCTCTTCGATGGATCGCAGCCTAGCAACCTGATTCAGCGCATACTCACAGTGGGACTGATTATGTTTGGCAGTGCTTACCCAGAAATACAGTAATTGCATATATTAGCTAT